CCTGCCATCGGATCAGCGCAGTGCGCTGGCCACAGCGCGCTGGCCGCGGCGGCCATTGGAGGGTGAACCAACGGCAAAGGAAGACCTTTCTCTCTCTCTCTCTCTCTCTCACTGTCCACTCTGCCTGTCAAAAAAATAAAAATAAAAATAAAAAAATAATAATGTGAACGTACTTAACACCACAAAACTATACTTAAAAATGACTCAAATGGTATATTTTATGTTGTACATACTCAACCACATTTTTAATGTATTCAAGAATAACCTGTACTAGGGTTACATCTGTGAATAAAATGGAAAGTTACTGTCTCAGCTCCTGCACTTCCCCCACATACTGCACATTCTAGCCAATCTGCTCACTGTATTGATTCCTGAAAGACAGGGATGAGATCTTGCTCAGCCTGTATCCCTAGAACCTAATAGAATGTTGAGCTTATAGAAATTGACCCCAAAATTCAACCAGATATGTCTTATGTCCCCTTTTCTCTAACATTTCTTGAAGTTGCTGAATTACATTTTCAGAAATATAATAGAGCTTCACACTAAACTCCCTTTAAACATTGTGTTCACAGGTAATTCTGCCTGCAGAGTGCAGAAATTGTGGATTTCAAATCAGAACTCCACTGTGTACTGGCCAGGCGACCTTGGGCAAGTTACAGAGTGCTTATCTGTGAGGTGGGAGAGCTCACAGCCCCACAGTGAACATCTGCTGTTTTGCAAGCTGGAACCAAGAGGCCCACCTCCCGGCGACAGTGCAACCATTGCTGCTACAGAGATGCTCTGCTCCTCCTCCTCAGCGGATGGCTCAGGGCTGAAAGACGTGACCAAGCCTGGGTCTTGTAACAGGAGGCACCTGGCCACAGGAAGAAACCAAGTCACCACATGCAATGCTGGCTTCAAGACTAACCAGGATTTAAATCCCCAGACTATGTAAGGTCCAGCCGTCCCACAGCCCCAGGGACTCTAAAACTGGTGCCAATTCCAAGAAAGCCAACCAAGAAAAAGAAAAGGGAGGGAGGGAGAAATCAGGTCCCCCTAACAACGTCTGGGCCTTGGAGTAAGCCATACCAGAAGTGCCATCCTCTGGATTAAGGAGTTGGAGCAAAAACAATATTCTTTTTTTTTTTTTTTTTTTTGCTAAAACAGTTTCTGTTTGGGAGATGCTGACATTTGTAAGAGAACTGAGCCTTAATTAAAATAAGAGTCTCCTAAACAGTTGTTGCAAAGATTAAATGAGGCACCCCATGTAAGCTAGGGCACAAACTATATACTCATTAGCTGGCAATTACTAAATTAACAGTAGTCCTTGCATATTGTGTGGTGGTAGAAATTTCCCACCTCCTTCCAGACACTTTTAACTCCTGGGCTCTGTCCCCGGTTTCTGTCTTCATTTCATTTCCATCCAGAAGAGGAATGGTGAGGACAAAATCCATCTGCCAGCACGTCTTAATCCCATACCTTGACAGACATCACTAATTGATCACAGCACTCTTTCCTTGAGTCTGAACCCAGCCTTGGATTCCTATTCAACCCAGCTTTCCAGGCAGTCACTACCAATCAATCAGATAGGACAAGCAAAATGAAACCAATCTGTGCTCCGGCACAGCAGTTAGCAGTTTTTCCACGAAGAATTAGGTAGTTCAATGGGCGTATTTCCTATCACTCACTCTCCTTTGTGTTTTGTTTACAACCCTTTAAAGATGTTTTAAACAAAAATGAAACAAAACAAAACAACCTGCTCTAGAGGCTTGAAACCAGACCCCGGGGCTGTCTGGGGGTGCCGGGCACCCTCTCGTCCTCTCTGCAGAGCACCTGGGAGCCCAGGCATGGAGCGGCTTGGAAACACCACCCGGGCCAGAGAAGCACCCGCGGAACGCACTCCAAGGCCCGAAATGCAGCAGGGGAGCACTGACCACAGAGGCTCGCTGTCCTGGCGACGCCGCTGAGAGCCATGCTCTGGGGAAGTGACAAGCCAAGGAAGAGCTACGGAGCCTGTGGGTGTTGCTGTGACCTTGCCCTGTGGGTGCTGTGACCTTGCCCTGTGCTTCTACATCAAGTTCACCGCACAAACCCCTTCAAGGGGCTGCAGCTCCACCCCCGGCCCCCAGCCAAGCTGCACTGCCTTTTTATGAGGGAAGGAAGGAAAGAGGCAGGTGCCAGTCACTACATTCTCCATTGTTTTAGTCTGCCCCGCACGGTTAAAGGGCCACCCCGGAATTAGCTCCAAGAGAGGAGCCTCATTTCTTCGGGCCAACCCTTGAGCCCTTAGTATTTCCCCGCCTCCTTTACTGCCTGCTCTATTGTTCTTCATGTTTGATTCTGGCTTTAGTGAAAACGATGGAACACTCTGACTGATAATCACTTATTCACTCAACAAACATTTACCCACAACAGAAGCCGTCACTCAAAGCACATGCAGGTTGGACGATTGACAGATGGCAATGCAGGGAGCTGTGCATGAAACACCATGGCTATGTGAGGTGGGGGACAACTCAGCTGGCTGGGGAGGAGCAAGCCCGGGGATCTGCTGGAAGGTGACATTGCTGCAACTGAGATGCCCAAGAGACGACAGGTTCTGAGAGTCTGCAGCTTGAGCAGGAGGCTCCCCGTGGGGAGAAACGGGAGGCGAGGCCGAGGAGGAGGCGAGCCCGGGATCGGCACCAAAAACCTGGAAAGGAAACCAGGCGCCATGATAGGCCTGGATTTTGCTTTCAGAACAAGTGTCATGCAATAGATGGGGCCAGGACGTGGGAGCCACGAGGCCTGTTGAAGGCAGTGGCGATGATGAGGCTAGGAACCAGCCCGCTGACAGCAGGAACTGGCCGGACAGGAACACAGGACAGCAGCAAAGATAACAATCAAGAGAGCAGGCATCTGGTGCAGTGTTAAGACGCATGCGTCCCACGTGGAGTGTCTGCCTTTGAGCCCTAGCTCGGGTTCTGACTCCAGCTTCCTGCTAATGCGAGCCCTGGGAGGCAGCGGGCGGTGCCTCCAGTACTCGATCTCCTGCTATCCATGTGGGTGACCCAGATGGAGTTCTGGGCTTCTGGCTGCAGCCTGACCCCAGCCCTGGCTGTTGCAGACATTTGGGGAGGGAATCAGCTGACAGAGAAGATCTCTCTTTGTTCCTGTCTCGCTGCCTTTCAGATAAGTAAAAATGGAAATAGTAAGAAGAAAGGCTCGCTCGCTGGCACCGCGGCAGCACCTTCTAAAGACAGCGCATGAGGTTTGGTGCTTTCGGGTGTATTAACTCGTTTAATCCTCACAACCCCCTGGGGCGGCAGAGATGCGGGGCGGGCACCTCTCCAGGACCTCCCGCCACAGAGCAGGAGACAAAAGAGGGTCAGGAAGGAAGCACCAGGGGGTCTGGCAGCTCCCCGCAAGCAGCGCCCACATCCCCAGCGGCCACCCTAGCGACTCTCCCCACGGGCATGGACAAGAGGTCTTCACAGAGCGGCTCACAGGGGAGCCTCCAAGGAACGTCCAGGGCCCTGGCTTGGGTACCTGAACACCTGCGTTTCAGTTTCCTGGGCCGCCTCCTCTGCGGCTCCTCCCCACATCCGTCCTCGGCCCCCTCCCCTCCCCCTTGGTAGTCCTGGCATCTCTGCCCCGCGCCATAAAAACACAGGCACCTTCCCATCGGAGGGAAACCCTCCGGGGGCCTGGCCGGTGAGCGCCGGAGAGGTCGGAACCATCCCTGCCGGCGAGCCCCGCTCTCGCTAACTCAGGGGCTTGGGTCTGTTATTTTTCCAATGAGTCCGAACTGGGAAAACCTAAAAGCAAGCCCGCGTGGTGTCCGTCTCAGACGGCCAAGACTCGCCCGCCACCGCACCGATCGGAGCGCGCGCTTCCGTCTGCGGCTGACAGCCGCGCGCGTGGCCGCGGACTCCCCACCCACCCGCAGGAAGACCCCGAGCCGGCCCCGGAGGCCCGCAGGCGGCCGCCAAGTTCCAGCAGGCATCGGGCAGCAAGAAACTTGTGTGCGATTTCCTGCGCGCAGGGAGACCTCCTGCCCCTCCCGCGCGGATACAACCCACTTTGCACATCCTGCTTCTCTCGGAGCTAAAAATACATCGGTATGCACTGCAAAACACTCCGACACATCTCGCCGGCACACCCTCGCCGAGGCCCCCCCGGGCCACCGACGCAGGTCTTTCCGGTCCCAAGTCCCGAATGCAGATCTTTGCCTTCACCGGGTTCAGCCAGCGCCTGTCGGCCGCTCCCAAAGCCCCCTCCCCACACGCCCACCCCTCGCGCCTGCGTCCCGCGGCTTCCCGGGGCCGAGCCCGGAATCCAGCGGCTGCCCACGACCCTCAACACCCCCCATCAGCCGCACGGAAGGGATGCTTCGGAGGGCCGCGGACCACCGGGCTCACCGACGCCCCCTTCCGACCCCACGCGCCCCCGCCCCGCCTGCCCCGCGAGCCCCGGCAAAGTTGCTCTGCCCGTGCCGCGGCCGGTGCTCTGGTTGCGCTATGCTTTCCCTCCCAGGCACTCGAGGGTGAGCAGACAGACACGGGACTCGCCAGGGTGAGCTGCACCCGGGAGGGCTCCCAGCACCGCGCGCTCCCAGCGCCCACCCCTGCGCCCGCGGGGAGCGCGCGCGGATCCCACCCCAGCAGCGGCTCCCCGCGCCGCCGCCCCCGGTGCCCCCGCCCCGGCCGCAGCTCCGACTCGGCTCGGGCTCCCGAGCGGCGGAGGGAAGCCCTGCGACTCACCGCGTCCGCCGCTCCCGGCGTCTGTGTCGCCGCGGGCGAGGCGGCGGCCGCAGCGGCAGCGCCTTCCCTCCGCCCGCCTCCCCCTGGACAGCGCGGCCGCCAGCCGCGCCCCCAGCCCCAGCTCGGCTCGCCACCTCCCTCCTGTCCGCCGCCGTCCCCTCCCCACTGAGGCTCTGCAGGAGGCACGCCCCGGGCTGCAAGGGGGTGCCAAGCCGAGACGCGGGGATCGCAGGTGCCGTGGACGCCCCACTGTGCCGCGGTGCAGCCACCGGCTTATGCTGCATGTGCCGCCTGATCGCAGCCCACCGCCCAGGCTTTTGGTCAGGCTGCAGCGGTGCTTTCCAAGGGTGCCATCGGCTTGCCTGCTGGGGTCGTGGGGCGGTCAACCTAGAGCATCCCCTTCGGAGCTTCGGAAACTGGGGGGGGGGGGGGGGGTTGACACCCCGCGGTGAAGTTCTAGGTGATCTTGGAACACAACGCAAAAGCCTCTTCCGCACCGTCCCCTGCACCACCAAGCCCGCAAGCTAGAAGGGGGCTGCTCTGGTCTAACCAGTGTTTCACCACCCGTCCGAGGGGTCCGCTCCCCTGTCCCCATTGCCCACTGTGGAGTGTGGCACTTTTCACCTCGACTGGGACTGATGAGAAGCCAGTGTCTTCACGGTTTCTTCGCCAGTGTGTACTGAGTGCCTGCAGGCGGCCAGCGCGTGCTCCTGGCCTAGGTGTCTGCCAGGCTCAGCCTCTCAAAAAGCCACTGCAACCTGTGCGCCTCGACCCCAGAGACATTTCCAGAACCCTCAGAAGGACTCCATGGCCACTCATCTTCATCCACTTACGAAGTGGCAGCTATAAAGGCTCCATGACCACGCTTTTAGAATGATTGCAAAAATCTTTTCATGGGACCTGTCGTAGAATTGACAGGTGAGTCCAAACGGCCACCAACCCTAATCTGAGTGTCAACTAAAAGGTTTATCTACCCAAAACTGCCCTTCCCTACCTCTGCTGGCTGACATCAACTGGAAAACAACAATTATCTCACAAGTCACTAGACCGAATCATCAGAGCTGAAAGCCATAGCAGGTGAGCCTGGTGCTTTGCCTGCCTGGACACACAACTGAATCTCCTGGGGATGTTGGTTTTGTTTGGTGTGTGTGTGTGTTAAATATGACGCCTGGGTCTCATCCCCAGAGATTCTCATTTCGCTGCACTGTTCAGGGCTGCAGCCATGCATGAATGAGGGTCTTCTACCTAGGTCCCAGCAGATTCTGATGGGCAGCCAGAGTTGGAAATCACCCTGGGGTAAGCCAGTCCTCAAGAGAGCTGGAGGAACTAGGAGCGTGAACCTGAAGTTTGGAAGCATGGGAAGGTCCAGGCAGGCGGTCTCCCCAAAGCTCCCAGGCAGAACCTTAATCCCTCAGCGCAGCAGTGGTGGTGGGAGGTGGGGCCAGTGTTTGGGACGTAGGGGCGGAGTGCTCTTGGGTGTATTGATGCCTCTCTCCAGGCAGTGAGCTGGTGCCAGGGTTGCTATAAAGCGAGGGTAGCCAGGTGCTTTCTCTCTTTCCCAGGCGCTGTTTCCCTTCCGTTTTTTCCACCATGAGTTAAAGCAGCACGTGGCCCTCACCGCATGCAGCTGACCAAACTTGGACCTTCCAGCTTCCAGAACCATGAGCCAAAATAAAGCCTTTTTCTTTATAAATGACCCAGTCTCAGGCACTCTGTTATAGCAACAGAAAACAAATGCAGGCACCATGGCCCTAAAGAGGTCAGCCTCATTTTCCATGTGGGAAATCGGTGTGGCCACCCAATTGGAATTCTGTATTTTATTTTGGTTTGGGTTGTTTGTATTTTTTTTCCAGAGAAGCCAGAAACCCACATTTCATGTCAGCTCTGTTTGAAATATTAGTCACTCACTTTCAAGATATTTTACATGCTCTAGAAGGCAAGGAAGAAGAGTTCGTAAGCCACAGAATGTCCCCCGGTCATCAGTTCATCGCTGTGGTCTGGGTCGGAGGTGACAGGAAGGTGTCAATGCTGGCACCAAGGATTCCTCGCCTGAGAGAGGTGACTTGAATGCCCACTTACCTACTTTGCCCTTTGCTTTAGTGGTCTCTGCTTAAAGAAAAAAGTTTCATTAATATATGATTCACAAGTACAATGTTATGCACTCATTTAAAGTCTGCATTTGAGTATTTTTAGTGTATTCGCAGAGTTGTATCACCATCACCACAACGTCAATCAATTTTAGCCCTGACTTGATCATCCCCAAAGAAAGCTCCGCACCTGTGAGCCTCACTCCCTTCTTTTCCCCCAGCCCCCAGCCCCGCCCATGAACTGCCTGACTGACTCTGGACATTGTGTACAAATGGAATCATAGAATAAGAGGACTTTTGTGATCAGCTTCTTTCACTTAGTTCTTCCACGTTATAGAATGTATCGATGCAACGTTCCTTCTTATGAACGAATCCTGTGCAGTCGTATGTCCTGTTTTTCATCTGTCAGGTGCTGGATCTGGAGTTGTTCCCACTTCTCAGAGTTACTGAGGATCAGGCTGCCGCCGACCATCTTGCCCAAGTGTCGCGTTTCTCCTGGCCGTCTAAGCAGGAATGGCACTGCCAGGGCCCATCATAGCTCCATTGTTCACGTTCTGAGTACCTGCCAGGGATTTCCAAAGCAGCTGACCATCTGACACTTCCCCCAGCAGCACGCGAGGCTTCCGATTTCTCCACATCCTCATCAACACTTTTATTTGCCATTTTGAAAAAAATCATACCATCCTAATAGGCGTGAAGTGATATCTCATGACGGCTTTAATCTACGTGTTCCCAACGGCTAGCACTGCTGAGCTTCAGGCGCTTAGTGGCCACTTCTGTTTCTCCTCCAGAGAAACGTCTGAGTGTTTTGCTCACTTCTGGTTGTTGAACTTTCCACTCTCCAGATGCAGGTGTTCTTTGTCTAGGTCCCGGATGTAAGTCCCTGCTGGATATCAACTTCTCAATATGTCCTCCGTTTCTGTGGGCTGTTGCTGCATTTCCTTGGGGCTATTCTTTGAAGTGTGAATTTTTAAATTTTTAATGAAACAAAGTTTCTGTATTTCCTTTTACTGTTTGAACTTTGGGCTTCATATTGTAAAAATTTTGCGTAATTCAGCGTCACAAAGATTGATGAATAATGGGCCTTATTTTTTTAAGTGATTTTTAGTGTGTGATGTTGGAAACCGGGAATATTGAAACAACTGGCTGTGAGTCTGTGGCCAAAGTTTCCCACTTGTATAAGCTGCTGGGCCAGCCCTTTCAACACCTCATCTGCTCAGCTCTGGGCACTGGATGGCAAATGTTTGCCAAGGGAGTGCATTTGGAGTGTGTATACACTTTGGACTCAGTAGGCCAACAATGGAAAGTAGTTTTTCATTCACTTGAAAATATTTCCTAAGAACCTCCTCCCATGTGCTTGGAAGGGCTCCACGCTCTCAGAATATAGAATCAAGGAAGCCAGGCAAGGTTGGAAAAATAAGCAGGCAGACAGACAGGGAGAGCACACAGGATACGCATCACATGCATGCTTCTGTCAAGGATTCACAACCAGCAAGGAGAGCGGCAGAGAGGACACAGTGCAAAGGCTCCAGTTCGGACGGGCAAAGGCATAGGTCATGCTGGGAACACAAAGAAATCGAATGTGGCTGGAGCTCAGCGGGGCTCTGTGGCTGAACTCCCTAGAGAGCACAGTCTGCGTGAAAGGTTAGGTGGCACCTCTTGGTAGGGAAGTGAAATCGCAGAGGAGATTGAGAGAACAAAGGAAGGGAGTCAGGAAAAGAGGAGAGACAGCTGCCATCATCTACCACGCAGCAAGGTTTCCATCCATGACGGGCCACATTGCCATGGGCCCATACGCTTAAAATGGAGAGAGGAGTTCCTACTCCCGGGAGTCATCAAAGCCCTTGTGATGTGACCGCACGATGCATCACCCACATGTTTGTGCTGATGTTGGTGTGAGCGAACTTGCTGCCCTGCCAGTTGTATAAAAGTATAGCACATCCAGTTAGTCATACTGGGTATAGCGCAGGCTACACCACCAAAGTGTGTGTATGCACACTCTATGATGTTTGCACAATGCAATTGCCTAACAGCGCATCTCTCAGCTAAGCGAAGCATGACTACATAAGGAAGTGTGCTACACAGCTGGCCATCGCCACCAGAGTCTGCAGAGGCACCATCGTGTGGTAGGAGCCAGTACTGAGGCCTTACTGAAGAGGCTGGGAAAAACCCGAGAGAGAAGTGCTGGTGTCTGGTCTTCAGGGAAGCAGTGGAATGCTTCAGAAGCTCCATTCATCTGTCGAGGGTGGGAGGAAGAATACTGGTATGCTAGGAAGACAGAAAAGTGGTTAGCAGGCTGCTTCCCCCCTTTGGGCAGAGGTCACTTTTCAGTACTGCTGGGTTGCATGGGAGTGGTCACCAAGTAGGGGTCTGGACAGTATCAGAGAACTCCCAGGGGGCAAAGTCAAAGGCATATGCCAGGAAGGGAGGCACTCTTGGGCAAGACCCGAGACAGCAGGAAAGACGGAGCAGCAGTCGCAGTGAGCTCCTCAATCTGGGGCAGTGACAGCATAGCAGCAACCTGGCTCCATGAACACAGGAGCAGTGCAAACCATTGCCAGGCTTGTCTAGAAAGTGACCCGTTATCATCGAGCTGATGCGGTACACACAATGGGTTTAGAGCAGTAGGCAAGGGGAAGAGTAAGACAAGGATGTGGTAAGAGAGTGGCAGGGCCAGCCCAATGCACTGCTTCGCAAGTCAAGATCAAGAATATAAAATAAAGGCTGGTGCTGTGGTAGAGTGGGTTAAGCAACTGCCTGCACTGCTGGCATCACACAAGGCTGCCAGTTCGAGTCCCGGCTGCCCCACTTCCAATCCAGGTCCCTGCTAATGTGCCTGAAAAGGCAGCAGAGGCCCAAGTCTTTGGGCCCCTGAACCCACATGGGAGGCCCAGAAAAAGCTCCTGGCTCCTGGCTTCAGCCTGGCCCAGTCCTGGCTGGTGCAACCATCTGGGGAGTAAACCAGCAGATGGAAGATCCCTCTCTGCCTCTCTTCCTCTCTCTCTCTCTGTAACTCTGCCTTTCAAATAAATAAATCTTTTAAAAAAAGAATATAAAATTTATTCCAGTTTTGAACTTATTCTAAGAACAATCCAAACCCACTGAAGGCTCTTTTTGATTTTTAAGGGACATCCATTACGATTTGTTTTTTTGAAGAGCAGTTCTGCAAGCTATAGGAATTGCATAGTTCTGCAGCCATCCCCGCTATAAAATGCAAAGAGCCATGGCTTCCATAAGGTGGCTGCCCCTAGCTGCCAGGCCTTCCCCACAGAGCTAAGCCCTGGCAAGCACTGCCGTGTTCGTTGCCTCTAGTTTCTTCCTTCGAGAAGAGCATAGCAGGAGGCTGGTGTGCACCCTGTCACGCCTGCCTTCTCCCACTGAGCCTGAAGCTCCTGAGATTCCTCTGTGTTACTAATTGCATCGAAGCTTCATTTCTTGTTGCCGTGTAAGTGCACTGCAGGCCATTTTTCCACTCTTCAGTTGAAGGAAATTTAGGTTATTTCCAGTTGGGGCAATTATTAATAAAGCTACTATAAATATTTGCCTACAGTTGTTTGTAGATGGCAGAAGCCTTTTTTTTTCACTTAGGCAAACACGTGGGTCTGGCATTGCTGGATTGCACGGTGAGTCTGTGTTTTAAGTGTATTTAGGAAACTTTCAAACCGATTTCTAAAACTGCATTCCCAACAGCAATAGATGAGAGTTCCAGGCATTCTTTATTTTAATTTTACTGCGCTTGATATTTTATAGTTGTATATAGTTATGGCATACAGTGTGACATTATGATTTATTAATACAATAAGGAATAATTTAACCAAGCTAATCAACATAGTCATTCCCTCAAATACTTATCATTTTGTGACAAGATTAAGTTTTATTCTCTTGGCAGTTTTGAAATGTACACTACACTAGTATTGATCCACCACACTGTTCAATAAATCTCAGAAGAACTTATTCCCCCTGGTAGCTGACTCTTTCCTTCCATCAGTATCCCCCCAAGCCTCACTCCCAGCCTCTGAAATCACCAGTCTACTCCGTGCCTCCTTGAATCCCATTGTTTTAGGTGCACATATAAACGAGAACAGGCCCTGTTTGTTTTCTGTGCCTCGTTATGTCACTTAGCATAGGGTCCTCCAATTCCACCCATGCTGTAGCACATGGAAGAATCTCCTTCCTCTTTAAGGCTGAACTGGATTCCGTTGTGTAGACACATCACATTTTCTTGATGTGTCTACCGTTGATGGGCCCTGAGGTTGATTCTGTAACTTGGTCATAGCGAGTAGTGCTTCAGTGAACACAGTGAGCTGATGTCTCTTCAACACATTGACTTCAAATCGGTACATATTCAAAAAAGGGGTTGCTAGATCATCCAGTAATTGTGCTTTTAGTTGTTTAAGTAACTTCCATAGAGTTTTCCATAATGACTGCACTATTTTATATTCTGACCAACAATATGCAAGTTCCCCTTTTCCCCACTTTCTCCCCAACCCTTGTTCTTTTTTGTCTTTTTGGTGATAACCATTCTGACAGGTGTGAAGCAATATCTCTGCGGTTTTAATTTGCGTTTTCCTAACGATTGGTGGTGGTTGAGCATTTTTTCATGTGTCTCGTGGACATTTGTACAATGAACAATTGTGAGCCATGTCCATTCAGATCCCTTGCCCATTTTTAAAATGGAGTTATTTTACTTGCTCTCTCATTATTGATTTCTGGGTTCTCAGTACATTTTGGATATTCACCCCTCATCAGATAATCAATGGCTTGCAAATATTTTCTCCCAGTTTTTAGGTTATCTCTTCACACAGTTGCTTCCTTTGCTGGGTGGAACTTCTCAGGTGGCTGCGATCCCATTTGTCTCTTCTTGCTTTGCTGCCTAGGCTTTGGGAGTCAAATCAAAACAACCAAAAAGATCACTGACCAGACCAGTGTTGGAGAGTTTTCTTCTAAGTAGCCTTCTTCTTTATAGCCTTAGATTTTACATCCGTGTCTCTAGTCGATTTTGAATTGTTTTTTGTATGTGGTGTGAAATAGGGATCTGATTTAATTCTTCTGTATGTGGACATCTAGTTTTCACAGCACTATCTATTGAAGAGACTGTCCTTGTCCCACTATGTATTCTTGGCACCTTTGTCAAAACTCAGTTCACCATCCTTGTCTGGGCTCATTTCTGGAATCCCCATTCTCTTCCCTTGTTAACATTTATTTTTATGCCAGTGAAATCAGGTCAGCTGATGCCCCTAGCTTTGTTCTTTTACTCATGATTTCTTTAACTATTCGGGATTATTTTGTAGGTTTCCATGTGAATTTTATCTACCATTTTGTTGCTCATTCTTCATTCCTGGAGACTCAAGTAACCTTCTGATATGACTGACTAGCCATCAATTCGAAGAACTTGGAACCCTCACGCATTGCTGATGAGACTGTAAATTGGTATAACTGCTTTGGAAAAACCACTTGACAGGTCCTCAGAATGTTAAACACAGGGTTACAATGCAATATTCCACTCCCAGGTGTATGGCCAAGAGAAATGAAAGCATACACCCACACAAAAACATGCATACAAATATTCATAGCAGCATTATTCATAACAGCCAACAGATGGAAGTCATCCAAATATACAGCAACTAATGAATGCATAAATAAAACGTGGTATGTCCTTTATAATAGAATACCATATAAGCATAAAAAGAACAAAGTGCTAATAATACCTTGTGGGTGAACCTTAAAAGCATCACACTTAATGACAACAACCAGTCACAAAAGGCCACATGTGTTCCATGATTCCATATATAGGAAATGCTCAGGACAGGCAAATCCACAGTGACAGAAAATAAATCCATAATTCCCAAGGGATGGGGTGGTGGGGTTTGACGGGAAATGCAGAATGACTGCCATGGGTGATGGGCTTCTTTTAGGGGTGGTGAAAATGTTCTAAAATGGATTGTGGGGATCATTTCAGAAGTCTGAATATTATAAAGGCCACTGAGTTATACACTTTAAATGAGCAAATTGTTTGGGATGCAAATTGTACCTCACCGATGCTATTTTCAAAAAATATAACTATAAAATAACTATGAGGTGCACTTATCAAATAACTATACACAAGGCGTTTTCAAGCCACACTCTGCTGTTTGCTCCAGCTCAGGACAATGCTGCTCAATCCGCTGGCTGCTGGAGAAGCACCTGGAGGCCTTGTCACATGGCAGGTGCCACCTGGCGAGCCCCGGGCGGAACTAAGGTGCTGCGCGTCTCACAAGGTAAGGCCGACACTGCCTGCCCCACGACCACATTTCACATCACAAAAGACACTGGAGACATTTTTCTTTTAGGGCAGCAAGCCAAAATCTCTGTAACAGAGGAAAAGCCGGGGTCGGGGTCGGTGCTGCTCACTAGGAAAAGGGCCCAGCCATTTTTTGAATATGTTCTGCCAGTTGCAAAAGCCACGTACTGGAGATTTGAAAATACTGAGCCAAACTTCCATCAGAATGAGCTGAGATGACAGGCTAGGGGCTAGGGTGAGACAGAGGGCTGGAACTCAGGGACCTGCCCTGAGGCTGATTGGGAAGTTGTGTTGGGTCGTCTGTCTTGGAGGTAAGAGGTGTGTCATGTGTGTGTGTGTGGAGTGACGTTCTTAAAAAGCACCCCACTCTGGCCTCGCACGGGATTCTGGGGCTCAGATAGACTTGGAGACCACCAGTCTGGAAGACCTCTTTGCATCCTTCTGGGTCTTAAATTCTGGACAAGCTCCTTTATTCAACACAGATACGCACCCACTGATTTCCGTATGCGAGAGAGAGTTTGCGGATCTCTGTAGATAGGAATTAAAGCTCAGTATGGGCTCTCACCCCCGCCAAGACCTCCCAGAGGAGGTTCACAAGCAAGCCCGTGTTAGAATGCAAGGCAAATATTCTCCTGAGGCACGAAGTTGCTTCTCCTACTCTCTGTTAGTCTCCTGGATCCTTAGAGGAGAGCCTCTGAGCTGTAACCGACTCCGCTGTTTCTTTCTCAGATCAAAGCTGTAGCCCTCATGGCCCACCTCAAGGCCACTCTTTTCTGGTTTTCGCTCACAGAGAGGAGTCTTCCTCCTGGTTGCAGAGCCTCGGAATGTTTAGACTCCCTTTGGGATAATTTGAGTCTGTCATCTTAATTAGGATGTCTTAATTTTCCCGCGGGTCTCTTTTTTCCCCTTCAATTTACAATTTCTATAAAAGGATCCTGTTTCTTTGAAATGTCCCTCCCTTCATCTCCAATCAGAGATGATCATATCTTTACACCCCACATCCAGATCAAGTTGTTTTCCTCCTACTTGTGTTTTTAATAATATATCTTCACTTAATTATACCCGTGCCCACGAGCTAACCCAGGGTATGTCAGCTTTCCCCACCAAGTTCCTCTCATTGTGGGCAGGAGATGGGGAAGGAAGGTGCTCATTAAAATGGGGCCAGTGCTGCGGCGCAGCAGGTTAAAGCCCTGGCCTGCAGCGCCGGCATCCCATGTGGGCACCAGTTCGTGTCCTGGCTGCTCCACTTCCTATCCAGCTCTCTGCCATGGCCTGGGAAAGCAGCAGCAGAAGGCCCAAGTCCTTGGGCCCCTGCACCATGTGGGAGACCCAGAAGAAGCTCCTGGCTCCTGGCTTCAGATCAGCACAGCTCTGGCTGTTGCAGTCAATTGGGGAGCGAACCAGCAGATCTCTCTCTCTTTCTGGTTCTACATCTCTCTGTAACTGTCTTTCAAATAAATAAATCTTTGTTAAAAAGTGGATTGGCCAGTGCTGCCTGTCACACAGGTATCCTGCAGTAGCAGGCTCCATCGCCAGAGAGCCCTACTGTAAAGCAGACGCAGCCACAGTCTGCTACACTGGTGGGGTGGACACTCTCACTGGCATTCAGAGGGGAGAAAGGTTACTTGGTTAAGATCAGAGGGCTCCTCAGGAAGCAGTTAATTGGGCCTTTATTTCTGTTTTACCAACTATTCCATACCTTCTCTGGGCAAAACCATACACCAGGGGCCAGCATTGCGGTACAGCAGGTTGCTAACGCCAGTGACACCAGCATCCCATGTGAGCGCCAACTGAGTCCCACAGCAGAACATGGCCCGAGTGCGTGGGCCCTGCCACCCAAGATCTAGCTGGAATTCCAGGCTCCTGGCTTCAGCCTGGCCCAGCCCCAGCCACTGCGGCCACTTGGGGAAT